TAGACCAGGCGGATAATGGGGGAATGGTCCCCCGAGGGCGAAATTTATGGGACCAAGTGCTTTCGATCAATTCGAGGGTGCTGATTTCGAAAATCAATGTTATACGGGGAATTTGGGGGCTATCAGCCTCTTTTTCGTGTTTTAAGTCTCGTTTTCGTATCTTTCATAGAAACAAGCGAGAAAACAGTTTCAAGTGGAAATAAGTGAATTCTAAAAAGTAGATTTGTTATCTTTGCCGAGAATTAAAGTTAACCATTCAATTTTGGCTTTTCAGGGGGGCAAACAGCCTCGTTTTCACGATCCACTCGCGTTATTTTACAATTTCTGCTAAACATTTCTCTAGCCAGACTGATTTTTACAATTTCATAGGAAATGCAGCAATGTTTTATCACTAATTAATAAATAACAATAATGGAAATCATTGCAGATCGTCTAAGCAAAGTTTGAAAGATAAGCTAGATCGTTTTATAGGTCCTCAAAGTCGTCTTCAGAGTCACTACACTCGACATCCTCAGTTTCAAGCTCTTCGTTGACTTCAGCTTGATTAAGCAAAAGCTCAGATATATCTTCCGGGTAACATATTTCACTCCAACGAACTGATCCTTTTTCATCCCAACCATGATCTGCTGGAGAGCCCAACTGAAGCATCAAACCATCAGCTTGCCTGAACATCATGGCGACGAAGTTTGCACGGAGAATATGCATCCTCAGGTTTTCTTTGCATGGCGGTAGGCGGTAGGACTGAGATCTACATGTATGATCTTCCTTTCTCTTTCAAATTTCTGCACAAACAACTTGTGTCGCCGCAGATTCACCGAGGATAGTCCTTGGTTTCCATACAATACACACAAAAACTTCTCCAAACCATTGAAGAGATTGTCGAACACTTGCGCGGAGTTTCCCAACTCAGTAAAAAGGCTAATGAATTCAGCTTTTTTTGACATTGCCCTCCAAAGTGCTTGCTTTCCCTTTCTAAAAAACTTGAAATATAATCGTTGCCAGAAAACGCGTGTAGGCCAAGTAGCGCTTTCTTTTTCTCCATCTCAAGGCCAGATCATGTCATGTCGATTATCTTTCGTTGTTTTCCAACACCATTATCTACTAGAATTTTCGTTCCGCCGAATTCGTGTGACAAGAACAATGCTAGAATATCGATGTCACCAGAGGGAGATCGAATCATGGCTGCATGATCGGGCGGAAAGTCCCAAGCTTTAACCAGTGCCACCAACTTTGTGTCTGCTTATTCGAGGTTACTGGCCCAGTGTTCGAAAACTTCAACACTATCCTCTGTAACTTTCATAGTTTGTTGGAGATCACTACTGTCCGGCTAAATAGTTGACTACGATCCTCAATTATTGCTAACTAAAGAAGATCAAACAACATTCCTTTGTCTTTGCCGTTGCAGAGGAAGCTGTTAAAGTCATATGGTACCTTCATGTCAGGGCTCGTCAAAACGTATCTCCCACTCAGGGACGAAACTACCGGGGGGGGGGGGGGGGGGGTGTGACTTATCCCCCCCCCCCCCCCAAATCCAAAAAATAGTCGATTTCGCAGGGCAATCGAAGATTTCGCAGGGCGCCAGGAAGAGCTTTATTGTCACGCAGAAATGCCACCTCTGAAGTTCGTAAAGAGCCGTTCAAGAATTTTGAAATGGAAATATCGTATTTGTTATGAACCTCCCTTCCTGACATTGCATTTTAGAGAACGAAACAGGTATGTAAGGAAAAGCTCCGTTATTTGCAAAGCGAAAGCATTTCTTACCAAAAGTCATAGCCAATGGATGCAATGATTGATGCATATGTTTATGAGGGCAAGGTTGAGTTATGCAAATTAATTTAAGTTGTAAATTATTTTCATGACAAGCACGGCGTCACTGGGGGGGGGGATAAGGGGCTGAAGTCCCTCACTTTGGTCAAGATAGGAATTTTTTATCATTTTTTCTATTATCTTTTAACAGTGCATGAACTAAAAAACATAATAAATCGTTAAGATACCGATTTTGTTTCATCTAATTGCTAACTTTTTCACGTATATTTTTATTATTTTTCTTTTATTTGCATTAATTCAGTAAATCATTTTCTGTATCATTACAATGTTTTAATTTTGGATGTGTAAACATGGCCTTCTTGATACAAGAAACTGCACATTTCTGTTCAGGAAAAAAAATTCTCCCAATCAAAACAACATCTTCCTCTGTCATTCACAACTACGTGCAATCTGAAACGAAAGGTTGCCGTTTCTTTCCTTCCCCAACGTCTAGCACTAGAGTTTTAGCATGACATCCCCCTCCCGTTTTTTCCCAATTAACAATAATATTTTCAATAAACAATCAATTCTTTTAGCACAATAGTATTTTGCTAAATTTTTGTCTGAAAGATGCTTTTTAGCCCTTTTTACAAGGTATAATTTCAAAAAATTTTTCACGTCGGACCCAACCATGGTGGGTCCTCCTACCTCACTAAACTCGACTCTTAGCCCCACTGGGTTAAATTTCGTTCCGCTGTCTACATCATTACCCACCCCCCCCCATCCCCCCAATTAGCTGTTTATTAGCTTAATTTTGCAAACCAACATTAAATGAAGTGAATATAAAAAACAATTTACGCTCACGTAGAGAAATAGAAATTTCATAGGCAATGAAGTTTCAAGTTTGTTTTTATTGCTTAGAAGTTTGTCCTTGGTAAAGACCAGTGTACACTGGTAAAGCTTTCACTAGTAACCTATAGACAAACCGTTCCTACGAGGTCTGCAGGGCACCACTCAGTTTTGCAGGGCAGAAACCCTTTTCACCCCCCCCCCAAAACTATTGGTCAAGTTACGCCCCTGGTCACAGACTTAAGAATTCCCAACCAAGTTCTTAGTAGAATTTTTCACGAGATGTTCTTTTCCATGCTCCAGTCACTGCTAGTGCAACAGAATATTGAACTGATTCAAGTTTTTCCATATGATTATTCAGTGAGGTATCGTGACTGAAATCGCATTTTTTGGGTGCAATGTGGTAAATGACGTCACCGTAATCTAAGTGTGGCCGCAAGAAATTGTATTATTCCTATTCCGCGTCTAAATTTTGTTATGATTAACTCAATATGAGTGGCAAAAGACAATTTAGAACTAAGCATGCCAAGATGTCTATGTTCATTTATTTTGATGACTGGGATGTCATTGAATAGAACTGGTGGATGATCGGTTGAAATTTTCTTTATTGAAAAAGTCACCTCAACTACTTGTTTAGTTACATTGCTTTGTAAAGGCAACCGTTATAGAATCTTAAGATATTAGTTTGAAAAGGAAATATTTAGGGGCGTAGCTGGCGGGGCAAGTGTGTGTACCCCTCTGTTATTAATTTTTGTATGGTAAATCTTCAGCTTGTTCATAAAACCTTTACTGCGTTGGTATAATTGCCATGCCTAGGTGAAATGGCAGCAATTTTTGACTCCATTTTTGTCTTATTCGGTATAGATCACCCACCAAATATCTAGTCTGAGATGTCAGGTTACACCGGCGGAACTCGTGCTAGGAATAGGTATCAGAGCTTCCTAAAAGTTATAATGCAAAAGTGCTGCCGAAAAAATTTTCAATTGACGTGATCTTGACATTGTACTATCGTAATATCCAGTAGGTAATTTGATTTGACGGTAAAATGCTGCCTTTCGAACATTTTAGAATCAAAGAAAAGTTGCTGTTCAATTTCAGTGTCAATAGTCAAGCACTAGAAATTGTACATGAGACAGGACGTATTATTAACAACAATCCACAAGTATCTTTTGTATAATCTATTTCTTTGAAATCTTAGGATTACAAACACAATTCTGATGAAATTCCACCTAGTTTTATCAGTGGAGTTGCAAATGGAATATACTGGTCGTATGTAACCATGGGAACACATGGGTGAGCCTCTTAGTGATCTTATTACTCGTCATTTCTATATTTGATGCTTGGTACTTAGCAAAGCTGACCACTAAAAATTTCCTGATGGATTGGCAAATTAAGGCATGATTTAGTTTTGCAGAAGCCTCTGCTGCAACTTACATTATGCAACTCGAAGGGGGAAGATCATTTCTCCGCATCGACAATCTTGCTTAGGAACTATCATAGATAATGAATGCTTTTTGTTTGAGAAAACATGTCGTAAAATAATTGCTTACTAACCTGAATGATTTTCATAATTTAGCAATTAGTTCCGAATCTGCTCCAATTCAATTTTTTACATTTCTTAGCATTTTGAATCTTAGCCCAAATTTTTCAGTCTTTGTGTTTTATATTGTGTTCGTTTCTAGTTTAGTAAGCCATGCTATAAAGATGATTTAGAAGTTAATGTTTCCAATCTGTAGAAGTTTACGGAAATTTGTTTATTTGTCCCAGATATGGTGACATCACCCCGAAAGGTATCTTGGCCCGACTATATGCAGTTGTATGGATTCTTATCGGGATTGTTAATCTTGGCATTCTTACTGGTGCCTTGACCACAGCCATGACTGTCTCGCAAGTTTATGATAGCTCTATGATTTACGATGTTGAGGTAAAGTAGCAAATCTTGTTAAATCAAATTGTGATGTCATAGCATAATACAATTCTGTAAAGGATTAAACTATCGTAAACAAATGTTGTTGGTGAGCATATCATAAATTTTTGAAATTCAAGTCAAATATAAGTAAACTTGTGTGGATTATCTCTATAATTGCAGTAATTGTAAATTTCAGATAGCTGCTGTGCAAGACTCCGAGGCATACAAAATTGGATTAAATCGAAATGGGAAGATGAATAAAAGTAAGCATTCACTTATGCAATTTATGGAAAGTTTGGATTAACGTATAAATTTTTGAGCTGTCTTCATCAAAGTGTTAGTATCGAACCCAGCTAAAAGTACGTTATGTATAATATTTTAGTGTTTAGTCAAAAATCAACGTTTTAATAATATGTTACTTATTTCAATTGTTTTATTACTGTGAGAACAGATCGATAAAAAGACGAAAAATATAATTTTACCTAGAAATCAAACAGATATGCAAAAACAACGCTTTGTTAAAATCATAAGTTCACTACTCTGATTAACTTGTTTATTTTTTCATTGATCAATTTTTGATTTTTGATAATAAATTTTTGAAGAAGATTTATTCTATAGTGGATATATCTATTTCTGCTTTCCTAAAGTAACATTAAAAAGCCAAATAGTTATTTCCTTGTCCTCATGATTAAAAAACTCCATCCTCCTATGACAAATACCTTATTTTTACACTCAGAAAATCAATACAAGACAATAGAAGAAGTGTCATCTGCCTTAAAGAGGAGAGAAGTGAGAGGTGCTTTGGTTGATGTTTACTCAGCAGCAATGCGTAGTGACCTGTTCGACCACCCTGACATTGTCGCCAAGAAGAAAATTGTGTATCCTAATGCATATGGGCTTGTTTTCGCTGGTGAATTAAAGAATGCTGCTTCTGCGTTCAGGGATTATCTCAATGTTAACGCTAAAGTATTTCTTGATGGCATGCAGAAAAAAGCAGCTGGATTACAGGTGCTGCTTTGTTTTTAAGTAATACTACGCAATCTCGCAACACAACTAAAGACAGTTGCTTTTTCCAATACATCAATTCAATTTACAGCATCGTTTTGGAAATAACTCCAAATTTCGTTGCATGACTTTCATGCAGGCAGATTATTAAAATTTGCCACTAGATATGTAGTGGAGATTCAATTGCTCACATTATTTATGTTTGCATAAGAAGATCGCGGCGTATAGTTGTAAAGCATATAGGATATTTGACACCGAATATCAATCCGGGTGGATCTTGAACGGTAATAAATGTTTCTGTAAGCCTTGATTAAAAGCAGTGTTTTTTGCTTGTTTCATAACTCGTCAAACTTGCTAATTAGGTGAATTTGCACTTTGCTCCCTTTAGGTGCAAAAGGAGAGTGGCGAGACAGTTTCACCCTTCGATCCCAAGTCAAAAACACTCCACCGCACTTTTACAATACTCTTTGTCATATTTTCAATCAGTTTTCTGTGTGGGTTGTTGTTCAATGTGTACAGATCGAATCGGAAAAAAAGAGTCGTCTCAGCAGAAGGTAGTAAACCTATCTATTTTTAGTAATATTTCTTCAAACCTCAGACGTAAAAAGCTACATGATACTGAATTTGAAGATAACACTTAAAAGTTGAAATATAGCATGCTAAAGTACTTTCGTCCTACGTTCTGTAGAGCGTAGACATCAGAAAATGATGAATAGTAAGCAGAAAATTTGTATCCAGAAGCGGATCGAAATTGATATGAGGGAAACAACTCGTTTGATTGGTTCCTTGCTTTAGACCAATCAGCGCCAAGAACAAATTGGATCCTTTGCTTTGATGTAAATAGACTCGAAAACATAATTGGAAAGATGGCTTTGCTTGCCCAATTCTTTAGTTTGATAACCAAAGGTCTAATTATGAGTTCACGAAAATTACTGTTTACCGGACGATCATAAAATTATCGATGCCGTGTAGGCTGAGCTGTAGAAACATTTGGTGTAACTTTACTAAGTTCCGACTCCGAGTTTCAAGCTTAATGTAATCATTTGATAACTCGGTGTAGCAACTTGGATCCGACCTGTTCTATAAAGCGTACTTATGAGTTCATACTTGTTTAAACTGGTTTGAGGTAAAGAGTTCTTAGAGTATTAAAAATATATTTTTTTTTCTTAAATACATTTCAAGATTTTTTCGATGTGTTATATATTGCTAGATATTATAGAAAATTGTTGTTACTTTCAATATATTTATTGATTTCCAATTTCTTCGAAGGACCATACCAAGAATTGAAACATTTGGAAAGATCATCGGAAGATATTATAGATGGGTTTGAAACTTCTTCAAGAAAGAAATTGGACACACTTCTAGACTTCCATTTAAAAGAAAGAGTGGTTATGATAAAGAAAATGCGAAAAACAGGATCATTATCAGAGGAAAGATTTGAAACAAAACAGGAAATGGAGAATAATGACATGACTAACAGAGAAGGAAATCAACAAAATGAGCCCAAATGCTTACTTGCCGATGTAGATGAAGTCTAGTAATATTTTTGTAGCAAAATATCTTTATCAAGGCTAACACATCTCACAGCGTAGTAGTACTAGGGCCTACAAGAATATCAACTTGAAAATACCATCGTGTATTGTTCAATATGCTTTTGGTAGATAAGTCTTGGATCAGGGCTTTGGAATAAAAATGCTAAGAAACAGTTATATTGTTTCTAGAATCATAGATCTTAGCAAAATTTTAACGTCCATAGATCATCCTGTGAAAATAATTTTAGGGTTACAATTATTTTAATTTTGATGTAACAAACTTTCTCAAAGCACAGTAAAACTGAAAAAAAATGAAATGGTGCAAATGAATGCTAACTAATGCTAATGTATGCTAATGTATTCTGGTGTTATCACAACTTCTTTCATCCTTTTGTTTGTCTTTGTGATAAAGAAAACTTTAGTTTGAGATTGTTGCCAGTATTCACACTTGTATTATCAAATTATTGCAATTTCATATTTGGAATGTAGACAAGTAAGCAGTTTAGACCAACTGATACTATCGTAACTTTCAGTAGAAGGAAATTTTTTAATTGTTGGCAAGAGATCAAAGCATAGCGACAAATTTGAGAAGAATTGCATATCAACATCACTAAAAAGCAAAAGTGAGAAGAAATGTGAATGAAACAGATTAAAGGCATTGAGTCATGGTAAATAGGCCTTCTCTATAGGGGATCATTTAGTTTCGGCGTGATCGCTGCTTTTTTCATGTGATATTGGCATCCATTAATGACAACTTTCTATTGATGAAAATTGTTTTGTCAATC